ATGCTCAGCCAATGAGCCACACCGGCTGGGCGGAAGTAGCTCTCTTTTATTAATAAACTCCCAAGGACAAAAACAAATTTTATGAACGAACACACTCTGATTAGCTCTGTGGTTTCAGTTTTATCACAGTTTGTTCCTTTCCTGAAAAGCATTGAAATAACTATTTGGAAGATGGGAATACCACTAGGAAAAATTATTTTTAGTCCAGAAACTATTTTTAAAAAATAGTCTCCATTGGAACTACTTTGCTTTAAAAAAAAAAAAAAAAAAGGTTAGGATTTATTTTTTTAAATATGTTTTTATTGATTTTTTAGAGAGAGGGGAAGGGAGAGGGAGAGAGAGATAGAAACATTGATGAGAGAGATATCAATTGGCCGCCTCCTGCATGCCCCCCATTAGGTACCAGGCATGTGCCCTGATCCGGAATCTAACTGGTGATCTCTTGGTCCATTGTCCAATGCTTAACCACTGAATCACACCGGCTGGGCTGGAATTATTTATTAATTTATGCTGCTAAAATCATTCACTTCTGCAAAGCCTTTCTTGCCTCTTCTACCCTACCCACCTGTGTGACCATCTGAGTTAGAAGTCTGTTTCCTTGGTATTCCTCTTCTGTAGTAACTTCCAAATATTTTTACTTGGCTTAAATTAAGAATTTTACCAACAACTGTGAATAAGATCCCTATGCTAAAAGCAGTCGGAAAAATATACAGTGTTATAACCTGATCACACACAATTTTTGATGCTTTTCAAAATAATTAGAACTGGTCAATAAGATGATGAAAGAAAACTGGTAAAAACTACTTAAGCTAACGTGTGAGAAGAGATGGTGGCTTAAAAATCTATTAAAAAGAATGAGTTATCCGCCTGTACAATTTTAAAACCTTTCAATCCTTTTCTTCAGTACATATGTAGCACTATTGACAGAATTGACTCTCATATCCAGCCTATGAGATGACTCTTCAAAGTTCTGTGCCTTCCAGTATTCATTCTCTGGTTTAGTCCCCTCCCTTAGTGAATCAGGGCCAACCCTGTGTGACAAACAGAATCCAGTGGAAGTGATGTTGTATGGCTTCTGAGGCTACATCAAAAGAGGCCTTGCAGCTTCTGTCTTGGTCTCTTGAAAACTCATTCTTGCCCTGGCCAGTTTGGCTCAGCGGTTAGAGCGTCTGCCTGCGGTCCGGAGAGACCCGGGTTCGGTTTCCGCTAAGGGCACGTACTTCGGTTGCAGTTTGTCCCCGGCCCTGGTTGGTCGTGCGGGTGGCAGCCACTCGATGTGTCCCTTCACGTCGATGTTTCTCACTCTCTCTCCCTTCCTCTCTCTCCCTCCCACTCTATCTGTACAAAAAATGGAAGAATGTCCTCGGGTGAGGATTTTAAAAAAAAGAAAACTCATTCTTAAAGCCATCAGTACAATATATGAAGCCCTACTACCCTAAGACCAACTTGCTGGAACGATTACATGGAAAGGCCCTGAAATTTTATTCAGAATGATTTCTGGCCAATTCCCCAACCATTTGAGTCATCACAGCTGAGGCTCTGGACCTAGCATGGAACAGAGTTGTCTCCATGGAGGCCTACCTAAATTGCAGATGTATAAGCAAAATAAATAATCATCCTTTAAATCATTAAGTTTTCAATGGTTTGTTATGCAGCAATAAATAATGGAACACTCCTCCCCTCCCTTTCCTTCACTTGTAAAGTGTTTCCTTAGGTGAGCGCAAGCATGTGTCAAGTCAATTCAAGAATAGGGACTTTGCCCTGGCCGGTTTGGCTCAGCGGTTAGAGCGTTGGTCCGTGGACCAATGAGTCACGGGTTCGATTCCCAGTCAAGGGCACGTACCTTGGTTGTGGTTCCTCCCTGGGAGGCAACAAATCGATATGGCTCTATTACCTGGATTTTTCTCTCTGTCTCTCTCTCCCACTCGATCTGATGATTAAATAAATAAATAAATAGAATAGAATAGGGACTTTTCCACCCGTAGTTGCTGGGCAACTGACTTATTTATGCTGTGGCGATATACCTCTTCAGGACTGTCTTCTAAGAGATAACTATGTCACTTTCGTGGTCAAAACACACAGGGGACCCAGTCCATCTCCAGGGCCTATGGCCAGGTGCAAACTCACACAGAACTATTTAATATATATGAATATATCTGTTAAGCTGAATGTGAAGGGTAGCCTTCTATAGAAAAGAAGTCACAAATGTATAAGTAGCAAGAGGGGTATAGATAGAAGAAGCAACCAATTTCTGTCTAGACTCTGCAGAGTTGGAGCTGCCAGCACATGTTTTCCTTTTCAGGACCTTCTTTCCACCCATGTTTGTAATGTGGAACTCATCCCTGCAACTACAGGGGTATATACTCCTATTATTGATTAAACAGGAATTTATCTGGTTATCTCCCTTGAGCATTTGAACTAAGATATAAAGAGATTATACCATGCACGTGGACAGAAAAGCCATAAGGAATCAGGGTGGCATGGCTATTAGCCATGTATATGCCAATGAGTAAATAAAGAGAACTAGTTTGTAGAAAAATAGTGGTAGTGAGAATCCATTGGAAGAAGGGATGAGAAAAGAAGGAAAGAGGGAAAGAAAGAGCATGAGAGAGCTCTAGCACTAGCTCTGTTCATTGGCTTTCTAGTTCCTGGTTTTAAATATTTAATGTAACTTAATTTTCGTTTCTTTTATTTTTGGTCAGGCAGGGGTGATGGTGGGATGGCATTTAACAGAAAGGGGATTTTATGTTCACTTTTGTTTAAGGGTGCCTAAAAAGATTGCTGGTGGAACCTCTCTTTCCTCCACTGTACTACATGGTGGTCACAATTTTAACATTCTATGAATATAAAATATCTAGGATCTTAACCAAAACATACTCACGTAGACCTTTCATCTTATTCTGAAGAACAAAATGTATACATTGGGTAAAGACCCTATTGCCTAGATCCGGAACTTAAATTTGCAGTAATTTCTATTTTTATTTTTTTATTTTTTTAAGTCCTCACCTGAGGACATTTTTGCATTTATCTTCAGATAGAGCGGGAGGGAGAGAGGGAGGAAGAGAGAGAGAAACATCGATGTGAGAGAGACACATCGACTGGCTGCCACCCACATGACCCCAACTGGGGCCTGGGACAAACTGCAACCGAGGTACGTGCCCTTAGCGGGAACCGAACCCGGGACTCTCTGGTCCACGGGCCAACGCTCTAACCGCTGAAACCGGCCAGGGCTGCAGTAATTTCTAATACTTGAGCACATGTATTTTTTCTTCCTGATTGTGCAAAAAAGGACAGGAAGTGAAAAGGGGAACATTCTTAATGCTCAAGTTAAGTCAGAGACTCATTTAGGATGTACACTAGATGTGAATAAGTGTGGAAAAGTAAAATGATCACCAAATTTGAACCTGAACTGATCCGCATTTGATGTCCTATCAGGATGTCAAAATACCGTGCTCAGGAAATTAAACCAACAACTCACCTTCTCTGTTACATAAGCAATACACGTGTATTGTAGTAAATTCAACCCAAGTATAACTAATGTTAATATTTAGTGTATATATATTTTAATATCTTCAAACAAACCCTATACCTCAGAACCCTATTGCTCAGAAGAGATCTGATTGTTTATATGGCAATGCTTCTTATGTCCTTAAGCAGGGTATACACTCCATAAGGAGAACTCCTTTACCATAACTCTACTTCCCCCAACCATACACATGTCAGTCACTTTCTTTGGTGAGGAATATGGGAAAGGTTATAAATGCTTCATTTACTAGCATGCAAGCATTCATTCATACATTCATTTGACAAACGTTTTACTGAGAACCTAGTATGGAGTTAAGCAAGGCCTAGGGAATTCAAAAGTAAATGTCTTAAAGTTAAAAACCTTAAGACAGGTTTTAAAACATTTTTTTTCTTTATTGATTTATTTTTATCCTCACCCGACATTTTTTTTTTTTTTTTGCATTTATCTTCAGATAGAGCGGGAGGGAGAGAAGGAGGAAGAGAGAGAGAGAAACATCGATGTGAGAGAGACACATTGAGTGGCCACCATCCACATGACCCCAACCGGGGTAGGGACAAACTGCAACCAAGGTACTGTCCTTAGTTAGAAATGAACCGGGACTCTCTGGTCCGGATCGGAGGGTCTAACCTATGAGCCAAACCAGCCAGGACTTTATTGATATTTTTAGAGAGAGAGAGAGATAGAAACATCTATGAGAGAGAACATTGATTGGCTGCCTCCTGCATGACCCCCACTGAAGATCGAGCCCACAACCTGGGCATGTGCCCTGCCCTGGAATCAAACCAGCGACCTCTTGGTGCATGGGTCTACACTCAACCAATGAGCCACACCAGCCGTGCAAGGCAGGTTTTTTTGCTTAAGAAATTCACAGGTCTGATACACAAATATTTTACTAAGTACTTGTGCAATTTTAGAGTGATACGTAAAAGTATTAAGAAAGCACAAAAAAGAGGACAAAGACAGTCTGGAGGTTGTTGGGGGAAATTTCCTGAGGGAGGTGACTCTGGCCAGACCATGTTGGGTCAGAGGATGGGTGATAAGGGGAGAAGAGAAGCGAGGAATACCAACTTCAGGGCCCCTTACTGAGTCAGCAGCAATTCCTGTTCCTCACCACTTGCATCATAAAATTGAAGTTCAACGTTCGACTGGGGATCTCTCCCGTACTTCGAACTTGGAAACCGAGAACCAAGGACAAAAAGATTAGGCTACGGAGCCGGGACTCCCAGCTAGAGAGTCCCATTGAGTCCTAGGAGGGCGGGGCAGAGCTGGGGGCGGGGCCAGCAGTGCGTGCACCAGAGCCGAAGGGCCGGGCCCGCCCCTGGGGGCTGGCGCAGGAGTCGGGCGTTGGTTGGTTGTGTGTGTGAATCGACCTCTTAGGATAGGCCGCGCAGGGCTGCTCGCGGGGCTTTGATTGGCTCACCGGCCCTGAGCGGACATAGCCTGTGGCGGGTCGTCGGGGAGACTGAGAGGAAAAAAAGAGCTGGGGTGTTAGGCCTCGCCGCGAACCGAGGCTGCGGGCTGCTGGGCGGTTCCGCGAGGCGGTTTCCAAAGAGCTGCGGGAACCAGGCACCCGGAGTTCACGCACAGTCCAGGAGGTGCTGAGCGAGTGGGCCGGCAGAGTAGCGGCCAGGAGACCCACGGGCCGGGACCATGGGCTGCTTCTTCTCCAAGAGGCGGAATTCTGAGAAAGAGTCGCAGCCCAAGGGCGAGGAGGAACACCCGAAGCAGTACAGCTGGGACCAGCGCGAGAAGGTAACCGGAGTCCTGTAGCCAAAGGTCTCAGTCCTCCCGAGACGCTCCGCAAGGGCCCCTTGTGGCCCGGGTGGGATGAGGGGACCGACCTAACAGCTAGCTGCCTGCCTGCCTGCCTCTCTCTCTCCCTCTCTCTGTCTCTGTCTCTGTCTCTGTCTCTGTCTCTGTCTCTGTCTCTCTCTCCGTCTCGGTCTCTCCTACCTCTCCCTCCTTTTCTCCCTCCCTCTACTCCCCCCATATTTGAAGTCTGGTTAATGACTTTCCAGGGAGCTATGAAATAAAGTGCTGGAGAGGGCGCTACAGAGGACTGTGAAACGCTGGAAGGGGTCTTAGACATTGTCCAGGTAGATGCCCAAGTTAAACCCCTGGGGGCTTTCCCTCTGCTCCACATCCTGACCCTCGGTCCCAGGATGGACTGGAGAGAAAGAAGGAGAGCCGGCAATGCCCCAATCTCAAATCTGCTCATTTCTCCAGCAGCACCGAGCAGGGTTTTGTCCAGTCCTCGAGTTACACATGGGACTGATTCTCATCTCTTTCACCGCTTATGTTCTTTCTGGGGCTGTTTCCTCTTTTGTTTGCCCTAGCCAGTAAGTCTCTTTGGTACCTAATGGTTTATTCCACTGCCGAATTTTCTGACACAAGTGGACTGTTGAACTTACAGCTTTGCTTTCTCCCCTCTTCCAATTACCCAAAAAGAATAATGAAAATTAAATCAGTTTTGGAATGTATGTTAAGACTGTATGGTGAAAATAACCAGCATAAACCGAGCAGTATTTACTACTGCTTTAAATGAATGAAAACGCTCCAATTTTTACTTTAATATATAGCTAGAAATGGAAAAGCTTTGAAAATGTCCACTACTCTTGCACAAAAGACATTTAGTCATAAATTTCATAATGCTTCCTCTTTCTACATAGTTCTCCATTTGTGTTTAATAAAATACTTTGATACATTTACCAATTTTTTTCTTCCAAACAAAATGGGAGATTTAAAAAAAAAATCCTCACCGGAGGATATTTTTTCATTTATTTTCAGACAGAGTGGGAGGGAGGGAGAGAGAGAAACATCAAGGTGAGAGAGACACATCCACTCGTTACCTCCTACACGCCGGGGATGAACTGCAACCAACGTACCTGCCCTTGACCAGAATGGAACCTGCAACTCTTTGGTCCATGGTCTCATGCTTTAACCGCTTAGCAAAACTGGCCAGGGCAAAATGGGAAATTTTTAAAATTGGTGTCATGAAGTTAACTTTTTGGTTAATGTAACATCTTTATCCATGAATGCTTTATAGTAAATTTCTTGTTAATATTTTTATTTCATAGACCTGCCTGTGTGATTTCCAATCCCCAGAATAATTTATTCATGTGAACTCGATTCTCCAAGTGTCAGATTTAAGAATGTGGATGCTTTTTGCAGACTGCTCAGCCCCATATTTCTTCCTCTGTTTCTCATATCATTCCTGGGTTTCATGGTATATTAATTCTCTCTTACCCCTACTTGTAGCAGTATTTTTATAATGTAGGAATGGAAATTACTGTGCTTTCTGTTGTATAAGAAGATTGTAACTATGGTTTAAAATTTATTTGGTGGGCACTTTTTAAAAGTCTCATTTCTGCCTTGTCGGGTTTGGCTAAGCGCTTAGAGCATCGGCCTGTGGACCAATGAGTTGCAGGGTTAGATTCCGGTCAAGGGCACCTACCTAGTCAAGGTCACATACCTCGGTTGCTATTCGTCTGGGGTCCTGCCTGAGGCAAGCAGTTGATGGGTCTCTCTCACATAGATATTTCTCTCTCTCTCTCCCCCTCCCTCCCTCCCTCCCTCCCTTCCTCCTTCTCCTTCTCTCCAACTCTATCTGATGATAAACAGAAAAACATCCTCCAGGGAGGATTTTTTTAAAAAGGAGGGAAGAGATAAACCACAGAACTTATATGCAGGTATGCACAACCATGGACATAGATAACAATGCTGGGACAGGTGTGGGGGTGGGATTGGGAGAAGGGGGTCACTGGGGGAAAAAGGAGAAACATTTGTAACAAAAATAAATTAATTAAAAAGAGAACGAGAGATCCCCCCCCTAAAAAAAGACTCATGTCCTAAGCCTTAGTATTTCTAACAATGCTATTTAAGCTTCAACTGTCTGGTATAGAGAAGGCTGTGTATTTATTTTTTTAGCTTTTTATTTTGAAATCATAGGCCAAAACTAAAGTACTTTTGTTTTTTATTTAGAGTAATTTTGGTTGCCCTCTGAGTCATTACTTCATAATAAAATGTTTTACAATTAACCTTTACTAACATGATGTTTGGGTTAGTTGGAATCTCACATGTTAGTTAATTAATCTTGCTCCTTTTAGATAAGTGGGTGTGTTCTGTGATTTTTGTTTTCTTTTGCTCTTTGGCTAAGTAAGTAAACTCACTGAAAAATAGAAGGGAGGACACCAACATCTAAGCTTTTCCCCCCAAGTGAGCATATAGTAAACTTTCAATTGTACACATTATTTGAGCTTACAGGGAACATTCTTTGGGACCACTACTAGGTACTTTAGTTATAGAGATGTAAGAGATGTTATTGGGTATGTAAAATAAGCTCATGCTTCTGGTATGTGTATAATAAAAGTTTAAATCTTGATCAACTCAACTAACCAAAATTTTTACAAATGAGCATTAGATTCTGAAACACAGCCCAGTTTTAAAGTCTTTTGGACTGCCCTGGCCAGTTTCACTCAGCAGTTAGAGCGTGGGCTTGTAGACAAATGAGTCGTGGGTTTGATTCTGGTCAAGGGCACTTAACTCTGTTGCGGTTTGACCTCGCCTTGGCTGGGTTGTTTGGGAGGCAACCAGTTGATGTGTCTCTCTCACATCCTCTCATGCCGATGTTTCTCTCTCTCCCCCTCTCTCTCCTTCCCTCCCACTCTATCTGATGATAAATAGAAAAATATCCTCGGGTAAGGATTAAAAAATAAATAAAAAAAACAATATCTTTTGGACTATTAGAGAAAGAGACTTACCAGCTTACATTTCAAGATAATGGAGACACCACATTTCTCACCATTGCTTTTTTTTCCCCCTTGGGAATTCACTCTAAGGTACCTCATTTATGATAGCCTGCAAATTTTTATGATTTAAAGTTTTTTTCTAGTTTCTTACCTCTCATGATGCCAACTTGGGCTAGTGTGCAAATGTTCTGTATTAGTCTGATGATGCTTTTAATGAGGTTAACGTGGTCTTCCTTGCTTTCAGACAATTTTAACTGTACCTTAAAAGCAATAGAATGCAAATACAGCCCATAGAACATAAATGAGATATGTTGCATGTATATTAACAGAATAGTTTTTGTATTAAAAGGCTTCTATAATGTGATCATAGAGTATAACATTACTGTTATACTCTATTTTAAAATTATATCAGATAATTACTATTCAGCTTATAAGACTTTAGGTGTAAAAACAAAATGTGCTGCCTGAAAAGTTTCCTCACAACTTAGAAAAAAATCATGTTTAAATTTCCCTTAGTTTGTGTAATCAGAGTATCTTTATTGAGAGGTACCCTTTGGGTTTTGAATTGTATAATTGGGTCAGTCTTAGGGGACTGGAGCTAGGAGAAATTGTCTCAATTAGAAAGAATGTTTGGGGACTAAGAGTTGTCATGGTAACTGATACTGTAATCAAGAGAATAAGAAGTTCATTTTCTATTGCTGCTGGCTTTGAAAAAGAAAAAAAATTTACATTTACTAAATATTTGATGAAAAATATTTTTGGATCATAGGGTCTGTGTTTATCCTCACCGGAGGACATTTTTTTCATTTTTTTGTTCAGATAGAGTGGGAAGGAGAGAGAGGGAGAGAGAGAGAGAAACATCGATGTGAAAGGGACACATCGAGTGGCTGCCACCCGCACGACCCAACCAGGGCCGGGGACAAACTGCAACCGAGGTACGTGCCCTTAGCGGGAACCGAACCCGGGTCTCTCGGGACCGCAGGCCAACGCTCTAACCTCTGAGCCAAACCGGCCAGGGCATAAGGTCTGTGTTTTAATCATCTGGAAAGAGACACTTTTATACTTGTTATCTGTATGCTGCCTCTCATAGCTAGGCAAATTATTCAATATGTATATGTGCTCAAACACCAAGGAAGAATCAAAATGATAAGAATTATGCCTGCCCTTGAAGACCTGACTGGCTTTTTTGAGTTGAAATATTTAAGTACAAACAGAGGGATGATGAGTGGAGTGGTACAGAAAAGTAGTTTTTATTTTCCAGTTTGTCATACCAGTATTCCTAGATGATAGAAATGATGGCATAAGTATGAAAATGGTGATTTTGAGCACATCTTTTTTTCCTGGAGATATATTTGCACATATTTATTGATTTAGAGAGAGGTAGACAGCACATCTTGTATCCATTACATCTGTCTCATATTCTCTAGGAATAATACTAAACAAAAGCCTAATACCAGAGATTCAAGTAACTGCATTTTATTCAGTGTCTGTTGTGGAACTTTGGATAAAGCAGCCAGTTTGTGCATTTCAGGTTCCTTGGCTATAACATGGGACAGTGCTAAAGATTTCTCTACCATTTAATGAAGTAAAGGCCTGTCCTGAGGAAGAGGGGTTAGTTAGATAGTAATGGCCACCTCTGAGGATAGAAATAGACCAGAGGTTGGAAAGGAGAGTTGGGCTTAAAATGTAAGGCAGATCATAATTCCTGGAGTTGTTCATAAATGGAAGTGTGGCTTTGTGAGGAACTGATCTCCCTGTTAGTGAAAACATTCAGATTAGAAAGAAGTGTCTGCACTGAGTAGGGGGCTAGATGCTGTTTTTAGCCTTTTAAGTACATAGGGTATTCTGGTTATCCATTGCTATGTACCAAACCACCTCGAAACTTAATGGCTTAGAATAATGACAAGTACTTATTTTTTCCCACAACTCTAATTTGTGTAGCGCTTAGCAGGATTGGCTCTCTGCTCTATGTGGCATCAGCTGGGACAGCTTGGACTAGGGGCT